GTGATTATTTAAAAGGATCATCAATGAATACATTTACTTCAACACATGTTATGCCTGATATTTATTGTCCTATTCAATTAACTCAAATATTAGGTTATCCAACTGATCAATATTATAGAAAATATCCAACAAAAAAAACTAAATTACCTGTTTTATTATTACATGGTATCTATTTAATTTTTCTTGTTTTATTCTAATATTAAATAATTATATTTTATAAATCAAAGGTGACATGGATTCAGCATTACCTATACCAATTGCACGACATTTTGTTAAACAATATTCATTGATTAACTCAAACTTAACTTATATTGAAATGCCACGTACAGGACATACAGCTACAAGTAATTCTTTTTTCTTTTCGTATGAATTCTAAAATTGAAATAATATAACTGTAGATGCGGCACCAATGACAGACGAAGAAGGAAATTGTGGTTGGAATTTAGCTATAACATATATGTTATCACCAACATTTGAACCTGATCGTTCATGTTTAAATAAAATAAGTCAAATTGATTTTTCTGGTACAACAACCAAAAGTAAACAAGTAGCAGTACAATATTTTGGTACTGATGATGTTTGGGGAATAAATACATCACATGTAATAACAACGAATAAACCAAATGAAACAATATCAAATATAGCTATCAGTATAAAATATACATTATCTATCTTTATTTCCATACTTATTATATATTTAACATCGTTTTAATAACCATTCTCTTTTTCTCATCTTCAATTCATATAGTTTCTTAAAATAAAAGCCATGTTATAATCTATATATATGACGATCAAACATATCAAAATTTATTGGACATCTTGATTAAGTAGAAAGTATAATATGTCACGTATTGTATTGTATTTGTAACCTGTTTATTTTTGTAGAAGTCACGCCTATTTTTTTGAAGAATACGTTTCATCGTTAGTTTTCAATCAAAATTTTCTACTATTTGTATTATCTATTAGAAACTAAAGTTACTTGTACGGAATTTACTGACTTAGGTACCTCATAGTAATTAAGAGTTTTAGCAATTGATATTTCAAGTCAACAATCTATTAGTATGGTCAATGATTTTAATTTAAGTTCTTAATCCTAATTATAGAAATAATCTTGTTAAGTGTGTGTTAACTATCAGTCATGGTTTCAGATTCAAGAGACGACAGAAAAAAAACAATATTAAATTAATTTATATGTATAAAATCCTCTGAGTTTCGTGCTATTGATGATTTAAAGTCGTTTATTTCTATATTAGTCGATGGTAAACTAATTTATTCCTGAAAAATAGATTATTATTTATTAAACTTATAGAATGATGTGCTACAATTTGTAGAATACTGATAGTGTTTGTTGAAATTGTTACAAATTTAGTTTAGCTAAAATAAAAATATCTAATTTTTATTTTGTTTTAAATTTTCGAAGTTAATATATTAGTTGCATTGATGCATATTAATTACGAAAGAGGTACTCTTTTTTTTTAATGTTTAACTGTATTAGAATGGTTTTTCCTAATGAACACCTAAAATAGA